GTACTCTACTTCAAAACCAATCTCTGAGTATGAGTAACTATTTGTAGCAAGTCGCTACATATACAACACTTCTTGTGCACATCACTCCGGTTACGTCATCCACAGTATTTTTGCGCAGAACCCACGTCGAAATTTGCAAAAAAGTGCATAGTTAAAACCGAATTTATTAATATGATAGTTCTCGGAAATTTGAAACATTTATTTTAAATAAAATTTTAATCCTTTGATTATACGTGATGTTAAAGTTTTTGGATTCAGATTATGCGCTTGGACACAACAACCGAAAAACATTGCACAAATAACTAAACCGGACCCAAGTTTCTCGATAAGGGGCAACAAAGATTCCGTTTTACTCGTTTATATAAAGCAGTGGATAAAAATATACTTATATGCGAAGGACAAATTTATCTGTTTAAATGAACACCACCAATATTTCTTGCAAACACACATCGATTTACATCTTTCATTTCGCCTCCGACACAGAATTGTTTTCGTACAAAATTACGCAAAAAAGATTACTCGTTCGTTTTTAGGCATGCCATTGTTACGAATTTCGAAAGTTCGAAAATGCGATTCGGATTGCAGCATACTATTTCTACGATTCGTAGCAAAATCCGAATACGAAAGAGTTGCAGAATAGGGGTGTTAGTTTCTAAAATTTCTTTATCCTCGTGCTAGTAGTATTAATTTGAGCTTAATCGTAATTATAGCATTGAATGGAGTTTTCTTAAATGTAAGTTTAAAATAAAAAAGTCCATTGTAAGAAAATATTTTTATGAAAAACGTAAATTTCCGAATATATTTAAGTCTTTATTTAAAAAAAAACAAGGTTTGTAAAGCTATACAGACCCCAATGCCTGCCAGCGCATCCGCCGAGACAGTCCATTAATCACACCCAAGTGAGAGTGATATACAAGTTACAATCGTTTTCAGCATTTAACAGTTCATTATCATGTACGGTGTAATATAACAAATTATACACTGAACTATGATAATCTGTACTAGTATCTATAATAATAGACAATAATTTGCAATGTTTTACACTTTTGCAATTAGTTTCGGGCACTATTACACAGTCATGACTTGTGCCTCTCTGCCATAGTACGGTTGTTGCTCCCTTTCATACCACAGGAATTTTGTATACAACTCTGAATCAACAAAATTCATGCTCCTAAAGTTTTCGCTTTAGCTGAATACCACTATTACTAATTTTGGTTTAAAATTTTTTCCCATCTTGCTATTGCTGAATATCAAAAAGGAATTAATAAATAATAAAAAGTTAGTTACAATTTTAGTGATTGGTTCTTGCAAATAATATTATTTTGTGATTGAAATGACTTGATCGCCGGCAGGAACTAATCAACTTTTTTGCCAAAACCAAAGCGGACGGGAAGGAAAAATAGTTCCTCATTAACGATTTGTCTGAAATATCGTTCTGGAAACGCGCTACTGCTCACTAAATTTGTAACAATCAAATTGCTTCACTTAATTGTTATATTTTTTTTTCGTTGTGGTAAATTTCCACATCATCACAGCAGCTGGCTGTCAAACTGAAAGCAAAAAAGATAGCAGAACGTTTACGGCACAATCTTCTTTTCTATGATTATTGTACATACTGCTACTTTGAATTTCTCAATTTTGACAATTCTGATCTAAAAGTAAACGAAACCTCAGAAAATTTAATTGCACTGAAATTCACTAATACCCATTTCCGCAAAAATCCTCTTTTTCGTATTTTCCTTGTTAAAAGTTATTGTAAATCATATATTTTTATCGCTTTATTCATTAAAAATAAAAATTTGAAAAAGCTTTTTAGATTGTGTAGAAATGATTAAACCGATTTCTGGTTGGGTTTTACGGATTTATTTAGTAAAAGCAGTAACAAAGCACAGATAAACGAAATAATGATTTAACGCCGTCAGTCGAACATTTATAGTTGGCTGCAGTAGCTCACAGTATAGTTTTAAAATTAAGTTACGAGAAGAAAATCCTGGAACGAAAGGAATATTTCCATATTGTGGTGAAGGTGGCAACAACGATACGATATCGCTGAATCCAGCGCAGCCGGCCAATTATCTTGTCCAAAATGCACTAGAAACGGTGGGTGGTACCGAACACCAGTCAAATCCAATGCAGCCGGCCAATTGTCTTGTCCAAACTACACTGAGATA